GGCTTTCGAGTATCCCTGTGGCAACATTAAATCCCACTCAAAGGGCTGGTTTTAATTGGCTTAATATACTCGTTAATAACCGCGTCTATTTAACGCACCTGTAAAAGGCCCATAACATTAACTTAATGGCAGCGACGATGTACCCAGCACTTCCAGCCAGCCTTTTAAATTTCCCGACAAGCTCTTAATGGGGCCGTGGTGGGCGGGGAAGGAGCAGGGAGGGGGTGGCCTAGTTCGCAGAGGGGGCACCTTGGTTTCCCCACACCCCAGCCCTGCTTCCGTCTGGCAGCTGCGGCCTCCTGACGGCCCAGAGCAGGCCCCTCCCTGGCCACCAACCAGCATTCATGTGACCTTTTCCAAGCGCAGTTAGATGTCAGGGTTGGGAGAGAGCAAGGTCTACTCACAGTCACCTCCGATTCTAGCCCAGGGACAGGTGAGAAGACAGCGGCGGCACGGGTCTCAACACTACCGGCAGAGCCCACCTTCTCAGAGCGGAGCCGTTGGCATCTTGGGCTTTTTTCTCCAAGGCTCAGTTCTGCCCTCTGAGAGGCAAGGAAGGGTGCTGGGAAGCTGGTGTTAGACAGCACTTCCCACCGCCCACCCCTGCGATCTTCTGCCATCCCCACCCTGCTGCCCGGACACCCGGCCTCCGCGCTGCTGTCCTGTGTGTCTAGCCGTGCTTGCACCAGACCTCGACTGGGCCCCTCTCTGACCCCGTGCCCTCGTATTCCAAGGCCCCCTTCCCAGAGGGGCCTTTGTCACAGCCTGCCTTCCGGTTCCTGTGCCAGCGTATCAAACCACCCCCAGTCCAACAGCGTTTATAACGCTCAGCAATACACAGGGCACAGTGGGGGCGGCACGTCTCTCCTCCCTGGGTCCCTGGGGGTGGGGGTGACTGGGATCCTCTAACTTGCTCACTCACCCGGATGTGTGCGTGTGATGCCGACGGCCACCTGAAACCCACACACACGGCGGCTCCGTGAGGCTGGCCTCCACAAGGGTATCCACGGCTGTCCAGGCAGAGCCACACTGCCTGTTGAACCTCCCAAGCCACTGTGAAAGCCACCACTTCCCTGCGTCCTGTGCAGTGGATAGGAGTTACTAAGCCAGTTCAGTGATTAAGTAAAGAAAATTAGGCTACTCTGTTCGTGGGAGCTGTGTCAAAGAATCTGTGGACACGTTTTGAAACTGTCTGGTCCCCAGGGGCCTGCTGCCGCCTGCCTCCTGGGCCACAGCGGCGGCTCGCCAGTGTTTCGACCACTGCCACAGCTCCAAGGCCCAAGATGGCTGCAGAAAGGTGGCTGATGCTGGGGCTTCGCTTCTGGCACCCTAACTGCTAGGCTGGACAGGTCCAGCTGACCGCAGCCTCACCACTCACTCAGTACAGCACTAGGGGATCACTCCGTGGCCTGTGGGGAACAGCGGTGTACAAGCCAACTCCGGGAGCCCAAGTGTGGTGGGCGAGGAAGACAAGCCAGCAGCAGTCAGTCTGGGGTGCGGGGGAGCGGATAGCGTGGTAATGCAGCCCAGGACCTGCCAGGAACTCTGTGGGGACCCACAGGCCAATTAGGGGGATAAAGGCAGGATCCTGGGGTTCCCTCCATCACTGTACTTGAACACCAGCTTCCCCACTGCTAAGGACCCGCCCCGACAGCTGGCTCCCCAGTCCCTCCAGGGGCCTTTTCCTACGCCCTCACATTCACCCACTGGGACTGTGATGGCACGGAACGCTCCTGGCTGGGTCCCTTCCACAGGAGGGTCTGAAACGTCCAGTCAGGGTGGCCTGGGTCCCTGTGTCACCTCCACTATACTCTGGTAGGACAGGCTGCATTGAGGCACCCAGAGAGTGAGTCCTCACTCATCCAGGAGTGAGTCCTCCAGGGAACAAGGTGGCGGTCCCAAAGGTGATCACAGGTTTGAGTCTAGGGACCCTGGTAGCCTGGCGGCCCATGTCCACTTGAAGGTGCCTGGATGCCAAACGCCGAGGAGCACAGAGAGCCCTGGCAAGCCCGGTTCCAGGTGAGCCTCAGCTCGGGGCCAGGCAGAGGCTAGGGCAGCCATGACAGCCACAAGCAGGTCACCTCTGGCCACCTGAAGGCCCTGGGCCGACTGTGACCCCTCCTAAGGACCATATGCCTAATTCTGCAGAAAAAGAATGAGCTTCAGGAGTCCCCTGGCCCCCGGAGGTCCTGTGCGTGGGGTGACAAGCACATCAGACCCCAGCTCAGCCCCTTGCTGGCTGTGCATTCCTGACAAGCTCAGCGTTCTCTCTCCATCTGTGAAACAGGGACCTAAGTGCGTCATCTCTTGCTGTATCGCAGGTGACTCCAAAATTGTGCAGCCTGAAACAGCAGTGATCATGTAGACCCTGCTCGTCTGAATGGCTCAGGAGACTGGGCACGGCACGGCACAGCTAGGGCGTGGTTCAGATCCGGGTCTCGGGAGGTGTGGTCTCACCTGGAGGCCTGGCCGGGGCTGGAGGCTGTACTTGCAGTGAGGCTTATGCAGCTGCTGGCTGCAACTTCTGTCATGTGCGACAGACGGGCCTCTTGCTCTGCCGGCTGCTCGGTTGTACCCACATGGCGGCCGCTTCCCCCGCTGAGCAAGGGATCCAAGAGAGCCCCAAGGAAGCCACCAGTAAGACCAGGTCCCGGAAGCCATGCTCTTTCACCTCCCCAGACTCTTCCTGGCTGCACTGCTCGGCCAGGGTTGGTGAGGGTCCAGGGGATGGCATATGGGCATGAATACCAGGCAGGAAGAACCCTGCAGGGTGGCCGGGGTCAGACCGGCTGTTAAAGGCCACAGCCTGTTCCTCGTCGGTAACTTGGGGGCCACCCCCCATTTCTCAGAGCTGTCAGACTGTCCAAACAGAAGCCATCGAGAAAAGCCTTGGGAGCCGGGCGTAATGGCGCACGCCTATAATCCCAGCACTCGGGAGGCTGAGGCAGGAGGATCGTTGCGAGTTAGAGTCTAGCCTGGGCTACAAAGTGAGCTCAAGGCCAACCTGAACTGCACAGTGAGACCCTGTCTCAAAAAGACCAAAAAAAAAGAGAGAAAAGCCTTGGGCAGTGAGCCTGGCACCCACTAAGTGCTCCCCAAAGGGCACCAGTGTGCTTGTGCCATCAACTCCCCCAAAAGCTGGAGGGATCACACCATCCTTGATGAGCCCCACTGGCCAGATGGGGGCAAGGCGCCCCAACTCTCAATAAATGGGGACTGGGAACAGGCATTGCTCTGCCCCCCCAACATTCTTAAGGTTTTAAACACCTAATTTATTCCATCCATTAGATAGATTTTGTAGATTTAATCATTTTCACAGTTGGTGGCTCATTGGATACTCAAGATAAACTCCAAATGAAAGTATAATGGTGAGGACAAATGAGTTTTCACACCACAATGGCAGAAACTTGCTTGGGAAGAGAGTTTAAGAGGAACGAAAATACATACAGATATAATTTTTTTCCCCGGCAGCTGCTTTTGCTGACTCTAGTAGGTTACCACAGCTAATTTCACCAGTTTTGTTCATCTGTAAAATTGCATAAAAGTGACATTTTTGTGCTCATTATAGCAACTGCTGATTTATGGCTGGCAAATGAAGAGCTGGTCCCTTTTTTGCGGGACTCTCCGAGCGGCGCTAAGTGCCCATGAAATTGCTTGTATAATGTAGTTTAAATCCAATCTCGGAGAAAGATTCCCCCGTTGGCCAAAGTGACATTTCCATTCTCCACACCGAGTTTATTTTAGACCACTTAGGAGGGGGCTGCCCCAGGCAGGGTCAGGATGGAGGCAGCCTCACCTGCCCATCCCACATGAGGCTGGAGGGACGTGAGATGCCACCACCACCTTTGCACCCTGCTGAGTGCCCTGCACAGCTGCCAGCGCCCTTGGGCAGGGCTGCTCCACCCAGCACTGCTGACGTGCAGGGCTGGATGGTTCACATGGGGGCCAAGCGGTGCACTGCGAGACGTTACTAGATGCCAGTAGCTCTTCACGCCCAGCCGGGACCAGCAAACACATCTCTGGACTCTGCCAACACGTGCAGTGCAGTGAGACCCACTGGCCGGCCATGAAGGGCCCACATGGCCACTTCTGTCCATCTCGTCTCAGCCTGAGTGACTGTCCTGGCCCCTGGACCTCTGTCCAGCTGTTTCTGCTGCCTGAAATCAGCTTTTCCTGGCCCTTTCCCCCCTATGGCCTCGGGCTTGGCCAGGAGAGTATTAACATGCTCTGACAGTGCCAACAGCCACAGCCACTGCCTGCCACTCGTGGGCCAGCAGCTCGCTCGGGGTCTGTCCATCCGCCCCAGGGGTGCTCTCTTCCCAGCCCCTCGGCCTGAGGGAAAGTGCGGGCTGCACAGGGGAATGTCTCAGGACCCGGGAGGGGCTCTGAGGGGCACTGCTGCCTCTGTGGCAGGGCAGAGGTGTATGCATTCACCGCACGCGTCACTTGGCCTGGATAAGCCTCACAGACACAAGATTCTATGACAGTGGCCACAAGGCTGTACACCGCATAGGACTGCACCTCCCCACACAACCAGGTACAGCCAGTCCCTGTTGCTGGAAGTCGGGATAGTGGTGAATTGAGGACTGGCTGCTCTGCCTCTCAACCTGGATATGTCCTTTTGTGAAAAGTCACCAGGCTTAAGGGTATAATTTCTGTATTTCACACTGTGATCCAAAGCTTAAAAATCTGGAAAGGCTGGGCGTGGCGGTGCACACCTGTAATCCCAGTGCTGTGGGAGGCTGAGGCAGGAAAACCACAAGTTCTAGCCCAGCTTAGACCACTTACTGACTTAGGAAGCTCCTATCTCTAAATAAAAAAGGGCTGGGACAACAGCTCAGTGCAAAGGCCCTGAGTGGAACCAAGGCTGGGAGGAACAAAGGAGAAGTAAGTGGAAGGGAGGGAAGGGAGCTGGGCCCTCCGTGAGCTTGCTTGGGCAGCAGAGGCTCCGGCTGGCCGAGTCGCTGGGTCAGCGCTCACCAGTGTCTCTGTCCCCACAGGTGAGACAACGGCGAGCTCCATGCATTCCTCCCGCTACCCAAGCCCAGCCGAGCTGGACGCCTACGCCGAGAAGGTGGCCAACAGCCCGCTGTCCATCAAGATCTTCCCCACCAACATCCGCGTGCCGCAGCACAAGCACCTCAGCCGCACCGTCAACGGCTACGACACCAGCGGCCAGCGCTACAGCCCCTACCCTCAGCACGCTGCCGGCTACCAGGGGCTGCTGGCCATTGTCAAGGCCGCCGTCTCCTCCTCCAGTGCAGCCGCCCCCGCCGGGCCCGCCAAAAGCGTGCTCAAGAGTGCCGAGGGCAAGCGGACCAAGCTGTCGCCAGCCACCGTGCAGGTGGGCATTGCGCCCTACCCAGCGCCCAGCACCCTGGGGCCCTTGGCCTACCCCAAGCCACCCGAGGCGCCTGCCCCGCCACCCGGCCTGCCCGCTGCCGCCACTGCCGCCTCAGTCATCCCCCTGCCAGGTCGGGGCCTGCCCCTGCCGCCCTCTAACCTGCCTTCCATCCACAGCATCCTCTACCAGCTCAACCAGCAGTGCCAGGCCCCGGGCGCTGCACCCACCACCTGCCAGGCTGTGGCCGTTCCCCACCCCAGCCCGGCCAAGCACGGCCCTGTGCCCAGCTTCCCCAGTATGGCCTACTCAGCCACTGCCGGCCTGCCCGACTGCCGGAAGGGTACAGAGCTGGGGCCTGGAGCCACCCCAGCCCTGACCCTAGCTGGGGCCTCCAAGCCTGCAGGGTACGTGGAAGGTGGCCTAGATTACCTGCTGTGGCCGCAGAAGCCACCCCCGCCGCCACCCCAGCCCCTGCGCACCTACAGCAGTGGCACGGTGGCCAGCAAGTCCCCGGAGGCCTGTAGCAGCCGGGCCTACGAGCGGGCCAGCGGGTCACCCCTCAACTGCAGCGTGGGGCTGCCCGCCAGCTTCACCGTGGGCCAGTACTTCGCTGCCCCCTGGAACAGCGTGCTGGTGACCCCAACCAGCGACTGCTACAACCCCGCCGCAGCGGCAGCAGTGGCGGTGACTGAGCTGGGGCCCGGAGCCACCCGGGAGCTAGCGGGGCCTCCTGCAGACGCCCTGGCGGGCCTGCCCAGCAAGAGCGTGTGCAACACGTCGGTGCTGAGCAGCAGCCTGCAGTCGCTGGAGTACCTCATCAACGACATCCGTCCGCCCTGCATCAAGGAGCAGATGCTGGGCAAGGGTTACGAGACGGTGGCCGTGCCGCGGCTGCTTGACCACCAGCACGCCCACATCCGCCTGCCCGTCTACAGATAGGTCTGCCCGGCAGATGGTCGGACAGATGGACAGTGCGCCAGGTGGGGGCGCAGGCTGAGGAGCAGGGTGGGTGGCTCCCAGGATGCCCCGCCCCACGCCCTTGGGATGCCCCGGAAAGCCAGGCTTGGGGCAGACGGAGGGGGGCAGGGTGACCTCACCTACTGAGACCCTCTCCCCATCACTGCCCCAGGACACGGGGAGAGCCTGAGGGGGGCTGGGGACACCTACACCTTCCTCCAGCCAGGCTGCGGGGGCAGGGAGTGAGAAGCCACTTACACACAGGGATGGTTCTTTCTGGGTCTCTGCCGGAGGACCTCAGGCTGGGGTGGGGAGTCATGCATTGTGTCCCCCTGCCCCCACAAGCCCCTGAAAAAGGAGCAGATCGGGCCTATAAGAAGTCACTGGGCCCAAGATAGTCCCACACCAGCCAACCCAGGTGAAGATCACTCTGACCTTAGAATCCTAGAGGCCCTAGGACTACTGGTCCCTGTTCCTCCTCCCTCAGATTCTCTCCCCAAGCCACTCCTTCCGAACAGAATCACCTTCCCACCCCCACCCTCTACACCCTGGACCAACATCTTCCCCTTTCTCTCCAATACATCTTATAGGGCTGCTGGGCACAGTTACGCAGGCTGTGCACTGCACAAAGGCACCTCGTCTGAGGAGACACCACTTGCATTCTAGACTTGTGTATTTATTACAATTTTCTGCATCTTGAGGAAGGGGCACCATTTTCCTGTTCGCACAAAGGCACCATAGGGGTTTAATAATGGACCTGACCCCAGGCCCCTCAGACCCCATTCGGAGGGACTCTACCTTGTCTAAAGTAAGCCTGGAAGGTGTGGGGGGTCCTCCTGGGAGCCAGTGAGGGGGCGGGCTATTGGTTTTGGAACCATCCAACTCCTGCAGTCCACCCCGCAAGGCCTAGGGGCAAGAGAGGCAGGGGCCCCCCAAGGCCTGAAGCCCCCCTGTCCGGCCCCCTCCCCTGGCGCTCCAGAAGCGGTACTGTATCTCTCTCCAAGGCCTGTTCAAGCACTAAGTGCATTTACAAATCTCTGAGAATGTTTTTTTTTATACTAAAATTGACCATTATATTCTACTGTGAGAAGTGCAGCCTGCACTATATTGTTTTAAAAACGAAGAGAAAGAAAAAAAGAGGAAAACACAGATGGTGTCTCAGCTGTCGGCTTGCTCTGTAGCTCTTTCCATCCCCCTCGCTGCCTCCCTCAGGGCCAGGCGGGCGGCCTCCCCTCCACCCTGCTGGCCGGTGGCGGGCCTCAGGGAAACATCCCAGGACCTTCCAGGCCCCTGCTGCGGGCCGGTGCTGGGCTTCACTCCGCCTCGCCCTTCGGAGCCCGCACTGCCCTGCCTTGCTGTGTGTCACACCAGGGCTCATGGCCTGTGGCATGGCCGGGCATCAGTGCACAGAGCGGGGGTCAGGATGCAGCCGCGTGCTGGTTCGCCGCCTCTGTGGTGGTCTGGGGACGCCCCTCCACCTGCGCGCCCCTCCCAGGGCTGTTTCTGGGTTTGGGATACTCGCAGCTCCGGTGTCAGCCCTGGCTGGGGACAGGCCATCTTCCTAGCTACGCCAGATACCCCAGCCCGCACCCACCCTGCCCGGGAGCCTGGAGATTTGCAATAGGCATCACCTGCCCCGGGGAGCTCAGCATTCCTCAGGCACCCCTGTAAGACAAGAGGTGTTAAAAGAGCCGGACACGCAGGCTCAGAGATGTGAAGGGACCTGCCCAAGGTCACACAGCAAGCAAGTCCATGGAAAGCCAGGGTTTTTCCTCAGCTCCTAGCCCTGCCCTTGCTTCCTCCTGCGCTTCAAGCCTGGCCTACTCACCCAGCACCAGGGGAAGAAGACACAGCCCTAGTCTGAGGCAGGCCTTCCTGCCGTGGGCCCTGAACCCTGCCCGCTCAGCTGGCACGGTGAGGTGCAGGGCGGAAGGCCTCCCCGAGACCAAGGCGAGGTATTCCCAAATCTGGCAGCGCACACAGCCCGGTCCCCAGGACGGCCCTGCTACAGCGTCCCCCAGCCCCTCAGAGCCCTGCATCTGGGTCCGTGAGCGGAGTGCAACCCCCCAGCCCACTGGGCACAGGGGCCGGGTCCTGCGGGAGGACAGGCTGGGAACGCCGGGGCTGGGTTAGGCCACCGGGAGCAGAGTTCAGCGGTTTCCGGTCAGCGTGCGCAGCAGCCCGCAGAGGCGTCTCTGGCCTCTCTGGGCCAGGTCTCACAACAACAGCCCTATCAGGTGAGTGGCGAGATCATGCCCATTTTACAGAGCAGGATGGGTAAGGAAGCCAGGTGTCCTGGCATCCAGCCCCACACCCTCACATCACCAAAGCGCCCTGGGCATCTAGAGCAAGTAGACCAGGCTCCAAATCCCGCCCTGGCTCCCGTGAGTGCCCTGAGCCCGCCCGTCCCCAAGAAGACCACACCACAGAGACAGAAGCAAGGGGCCCGAAGCCCAGAGCCTCAGGCAGCACAGGCGGCGCACAGGGAGGAGGCCGCGCCTGGGGCTGGGCAGCAGCCTGTGGCTCGGCTGCTCTGGGAGCCAGCAGGAAGCCAGCCAGCCACCAACCTGCCCCCGGCTCACCTAGTGCCCACATGTGGAGATGCGGGCAGAGAACCCACCACCCTCCTGTGCACAGGGCTGGGGTGCGGGTCTGCCCTGGCTGGGTCCCATCTCCCTGGGCCTCAGTTTCCCCACTTGGGAGCTGAGTGGTTGATCGAAAGGGCCCTCTACAGTAGCCATTGGAGCAAGCTCTGGCCCTGTCCCGTGTTCACAGTCTCCGCTCAGCGCAGCGGGCCAGGAAACAAGAACACCAAAGCGGAACCTGTAGTCAGCGGAACCGAACTCGGGCGCCCTTCTGCCCTCACCGGCCTCACACGAGTCAGGTGCACATGTATTAGAGCTGAGGCCGGTGAGGCTGGGGACGGGCAGTCACCACCCGAAGTCACACAGCCGGAGGTGCAGAAAGGAGAAGCAGCTGGGAGAGAACAACCCATCTGCAGCCGGAGCTGGGAGCACTGCGCTGGGCGGAGCACGCACAGCCTCACCATCCTGGCAGGTGGCGCCTTTGGCTCCAGAAGGGGAGGGGGACCCCCTGCGGGGTGCAGGAGGCAGAGGCAAGACAGTTCCCACCAGATAGCACTCTGGTCCAAACCCCTGACTGAGCCCGGGCAGGATCCCCCCATACACACACCCACAGAACCCTCCCAGGCCTACACCCTTCCCCACTCACCCGGTCCACGGGGAAGCAGGTGTGCCCCACGTCACCTCCACATTTACTGTTGTGGATGCCCCTGCCGCTACAGCATACGACGTGCCGCCCCAGACACAGCGGATCCCTGCAGATCCACTCATGTCCCTGTCTTAGACCATGCATTCCCCCAGGAAGTTGAAACAAGTTGACAAGTTTGAACTTCTGGACTTGATCACTTCTAACCAGCCTTGCCAGGCCCTCTAAGCCGCAGCCTCAACACCAAGCCGATCCACACGCTCTGATCCCGTCCCACTGTCCCACGCGCATGCGCCGTACTGCACCTCCACAGCATGCAGGTGGTGCTCTCAAAGCCCCCCACCCTGGGTTAGGTATACTACAGCCGGTGCACACCTGTCATCCCCACACTAGGAGCCTGAGGCAGGAGAATCACAAGCTGGAGCTCAGCCTGGTCAGCTTAGTGATTTAGCAAGACCTTATCTCAAAAAAATAAGAAAGGTCTTAAGGATGGTGGCTCAGTGGGAAGGCTCTAGGTCCAATCCCCAGTTCTGAAAAAATAAAGATATCTTTTCAACCAATGCATTTATCAGAATATAAGGTCATTTTAAATGAAGAAGCATCCTTGCTGGGTGTGGTGTCACATGTCTGTAATTCCAGCACTCAGGAGGCTGAGGCAGGAGGATCACTGTGAGTTCAAGGCTACAAAGTGAGTTCAAGGCCAGCCTGAACAAACCGTGTCTCAAAAAGACAAAAAAAAAAAAAAAAAAAGGAGCATCCGTGTGTACTATGCAGGTTGAACTTAAGGGATGGCGATTCAGCTCTGAGGGGTAGTAGAGAGAGATGTCAGAGAGGGCGCACATAATTAAATTAGGTGTACTCTTCCTGATGTCACCTTGTCCAGCTGATTTCCAAGTCACCCTGGAAAGTGGATTTCCCAAAGAACTGAGAGACGGGGCTGGGGATGGAGCTCAGAAGTACAGCACGTGCCTGGCATGTGTGGAGCCCTGGATTCCAGCTCAAATAGTGCAAAATAATTTTTTGAATTAAAGGAAAAGAGTTTGAGAAACAGTTGTATATACCCATCATTGGAAATGCACAAATCACCTAAGTATGTCAGAGGCTCTGCAAAGTCCTGCACACAAGCATTTCTCTCCCTTAACCTACAGTTTTCTTTCTATTAACATCTCAAGGGAAAAGCAGGACTTCAGGAGATGCTCTTGAATTGCAAGTGGGGAAATGGAGTGACTTCCTTCTCCTCTTCCAGTCTCAGTTTCCCCAGGTGCAACATAAGGAATGAGGTTTACAGCAAAATAAGGGCTGAGACCCAACCCTGACCTGGACCTCTTGTCTGGGCCAACCGCATCCTAGATGGTCTCTGTCCACCGTGTTGAACTCGGCACAAAAGGAGGGACAGACCCTCCGTGAGAGAGAGGAAGCTCACACTTGAGGTATGGCATGAGTACCCCATTTTGGAAAAGGAAAAAAGCAGGTTCAGAGAGGGAAGGCAATTTGTCTGTGGGCACACAGCAATTTGGATCCTAAATCCTCTGAGGGTGTCTGGGCTCCTTCTCTTCTTGGAGATGGAAATCCTTCCTGAGTCTCAGACTCAGAGCCTGCTCATGCAGAGCTCACAGGAAGGCTTTTCTCGACCGGGTCTCGGGGTTCCGGTTTCCCTCAGGTCTCTGCAGAGGCCGCCCCAGGTGTGACAACAGCGGCCCCTGGTGGCCAATCTCCAGGAACTCCGCGGCCCCACCCAGCATCTGCCAAAAGCAGGCCGGTGGGACCCAAGGGGTGCACCCCAAACGAACGGGTGCTGAGAACAAGGAGTTCTCCCTGGAATTGCTAAGGACCCGGACATGCTGAGAAGATCAACCCCATCCTCACTCAGACCCCTGGTTCTTGCCTATCAGAAACCACAGCAACCAGCTGCTGTGGAAAATGGCCACATTTGAAAAGGCTCAACACACTCACATGCACACACACACGCACACACTCCTACCATCTCCTAGAAAGTTCATTCTAAGACAGTCGGTTCAGATTCTATCTCCACCCAGATCCAGGCTGCACAGCCTTAGGCACCAGTGTTTCCTTGTGTCTCACTTTCTTCAACTCTAAAATAGGGACAATTATGTAAATGTACTCGCATCTATATGATTTTGGCTAGGTAACAGAAAATCCTGACTCCACTGGTTTAAATGAAAAAATGTACTACCTCAAATAATCATAAGGTAGAATGACCCCAGGGCTGGTTAATTCAGCAGCTCAATGGTCGCATCAAGAACCCATGTTCTTTTCATCCTGCTGGTCAGGCAATCCCCTTCCTGGTCACAAAATGGCTGCTGCAGCTCCACACATCACTTCCAGACTTACAGTCCCCAGCAAAAAAGAAGGCCAGTCCCTTCCTGTACTTGTATTTCTCTTTCTTTCCCAGAAACCTTTCCCAGAGTTTCCCCTTCCCCAGCAAAGCTTGTCTTCTGCCTCATGGGTCAGAACTGGGTCATATGGCCATTCCTATACCAATACCTAGAAATAGAATCACAGTGGTTGGCTTAGAGAAGCCTGAAACTGTGCAGAGCAAAGTGGAAAACTCTGAGCAAAACCAGATGCTGTGTATAAGGAATAGGAGGCACCAGCTCCCACCCAGAAGCTCCCACATGTGGTTACCGAGACCTGGGTGCCCACAAACCCTACTGCATGGCAGGTGTCAGCACTGGGGGGGGAGGTCATGCATTGTGTCCCCCTGCCCCCACAAGCCCCTGAAAAAGGAGCAGATCGGGCCTATAAGAAGTCACTGGGCCTCACCAGGAGGAGCCTCACCAGGGTTCATGTGCTTCTTTCCTGTTGGAGGCCAGTCCAAGAACACAGCACTCCCAGCCTGGTCCCTCCTGACTCAGCCTTCAGCTCCTCAGGCTCTGGGGCCTGGGTCTCCACTATCCCCAACTCCCGGACCCTGTCCTCTAGCTCTGTCCTCACCCTGCCTTTGTTCCTGCCTCAAAAGCTTGAGCTGAACAAAGCTCTCTCGGTCGCCTCTGTGACTTTGGATTCCTAAAATACAAAAGGTACGAAGTGCTTGGTTCTCATGTACGGGTTTTTGCCAAGGAGCTGAAAATTAATAACAGTATGAACAGAGTCCTGGAGTACTGAATTGGCCCATCCAAACACCGGAAACCATCCAAACGCACCGTTATCTGGGCCAGCCACGGAGACTGACTACCGACTACGACATTATCGCATTCGGAAATGTCACAAGCATGCATTGGGAAGAGATGAACAGGGTGGCTGAATATGGCTTTTGATTAAATAAAATCCCCAGCATTCATCTAAAACAATAATAACAGCTAATAATAACAGGGCATGTAATAATGAACTATTCATAGGCATAAGAGGTAATTGTTCAATTAAGATCCGAGAGGTTCTAAGACTGTCTTTTCTGATGGGATCCCTTTGTTTTTGCCTCCGGTAGCACTAATTATTTCCCAGTAGTGCTTTAAACTTGGGAGGAGAAAAAGCCGTCCTGTCAAATATGACATACAAGTGCTTTATCATTGTTAAGTACACATACATGCACATAATAGGAAGCCCTTGCCGGAGCGAAGGTAGTGGTGTGTTCAAAGGAAGAGGACACTAATCGAGGCCTGGCAGGCTAGGGGACGCAATACAAGCGGCAGGTGACAGCCAGGGTTTCCACCGTAGGTCTCCGTCTCCTCACCTCACCGTCACTTCTCTCCCTCACCCGTCACCCCACTCCCTCACCCGTCAGATGCCCGGGAGCCTCTCGGAGCCTTGATGTTCTCAGCTATAAGGCAGAAATCAAGCCAGAGGTAGTGGCACCTGCCTGCAATCCTAGCACTTTAAGAGGGAGACTGAGGCAGGACGTTCGCAAGTTCAAGCTCAGCCTGGGCAATTTAATGACTGGGTGAGGCCAGGTCTCAAAATAAAAAATGAAAAAGAGTGGGGATGTAGCTCAGTTGGATTGCCAGTTCCACACACACACAAAAAAAAAAATTAAACAAATAAAACACAAAAAACTGAATACAGTAAACATGCCTGGTTTAGGGGAGCTGTTGTGTTCTACTTACTCTTTTTTCTAGTACCTATATCATTACCCATTGCTGCGTGCACCACACACGCACGCACACACACGTCGGTGGTATGGTGTCAAAACCATTCCTGTCCCGCCCAGAAGCCGGGGTCTCCGGGCTCTGCTCCACTTGGCGCTCATCCTGGGGGGCGGGGCTGGACAGGCACGATGTCTGCTCGCATCCCATTGGCCAACACAAGTCACATGGTCAGATCCAGGCGTGGGGAAATAAGGAGTTGCTGGCTGTGAAAGGACAGCAGTTTTATAGCAAAGGGCATGGGTGAAAAGAGGAGTGGAAATCTGGATGCTGATACAATCTACCCTGGTATCAACATTTAATTACACTTACCTCGGGGAAGCCGTCCTTCCCTAGTCTCAGCCCCTGGATTCTGGGAAACTCTAGCTCCGTCCCTGGCTCCAGACTCAGGTCTGACCAATCAGGGACCATTCTGCTCCCTTGGCCACAGTGATTGGTGCAGGAGTAGGCACGTGACCCCAGTTGGTCCAGTCAGAGGCAGTCCTGAGACTTTCACTGGGATGCTTAGGGAACAAATAACTCTTCTCGGAGATTGCCAAGTGGGTAGGGAGTTAATGTGTAGCTTCTAGGGACCAACACTTTAGGAGAACCAGCTTGAGAATTAAGCTGCCCCACGGGAAGCAGAGCTGAGAGGTACACAAGAGTCTAACCGTGATGGCCTCATTCAAGCCCTTTAATCCAGCCATGCTTCAAGAGAGACTTACCTGCTCTCTTTCGGTAATGTGAACCAATGTGTCACACGCAACCAAAAAACTATAATACCTGGGGGCTATGGGGTCCTAAGCCGGAGAGACACTGTAGCCTGACAGGCACTGAATGCCAGGGTCAGGGTCAGAGCAGGCACTCCATACGTGGTAGCTCTCGTGACTGCCTGCAGAACGGCTGGAGGAAGCAAGGGGCTTCGGCTTGGAGACGGGCAGACAAGGTGGAGGAGCGAGAAATCTCAAACGAGGACCTTACACTAAAGATGTTGCTTTCTTAGGCCATCAGAGGCATGAGCCTCCCGTCCCAGAAAGTATGCAAATAGAGGAGTATAGGTTTAGTGGCAAAAAGGGAGCAAGCATGGATATAAGATTGGGATAGATCCATGATTCCCAAATGCCAATCCATAACATAGTCATCCCTCTCCCCGTGAATTTTTATTCATCTAACGTGACTCCCTAAATCATCAAAAGTTTTTACTTGTAAATGAATTACTGTAAAATACCCCTGAGAGCACTACTTTATCTAGAAAATCAGTAACACTTGTCATAAATAGGTCTCGTAACTGTAAAAAGAAAATAAAATTATGTTTTGAATCTCTTTGCCACTACATCCTTCTGGAAGTTCTGAGCCACAGATTCTTCTCCATGGGAAACACAGATTAAACCAGGTGTGGTAGCAAACACTATAATCCCAGCTACTTGGGTAGATGGGGCAGGAGGATTGAAAGTTTGAGGCCAGCTAGACAATGTAGCAAGAC